CAGCAGCAGCAAGAGGCGCCGTTGCAGTGTATTCCCAGGGGGCCTTCAGCGACTGAAGGGCGCGGCCTAGAGCTGCCAAGTTCGCGAGGAGGCTTTGTTGAGCATCAATAAATCTCTGAAAATAAAAAAGAAACAAAATAAAATACAAAATTAATTAATTAATTAATCCATTTGCTGCTGAATTAACTCGCTAGATTCCCTGCTGCAGCAGCAAGCCCCTCGAGAACCAGCTCAAACGGCCTCCTCCTCCTGGAGATCTAGGGTTTTTCAGGAATTAGGGTTTAGGGTTTAGGGTTTAGTCACCTCGACGTCCGCGGCGGCCTTTGCTGCTGCTGCAGTGAGGTGGCTGAGAGCTGCGCGGTCGACATCTTTCAATCTTGTTTGCGAAGAGGTTTTTTGAATACTTTTGAGAGCAGCTGAAATATTAAAAAGGGTTTGCCGGGCCCTGGGCTGTACGTACACCGGGGGCTGCTGCAGCGCCTGCGCTGCTGCTGCTGCTGCTGCAGCAAGCTCCCGCTCCTGCTGCGGCTGCTGCCGCTGCTGCTGCACCGTCGAGCCCACCGGCGCTGCTGCTGCTGCAGCAGGCAGCCACGGAGCAGCAGCAACGGGGGCCTGAGACCCCAGCAGCAAACTTGCTGCTGCTGCTGCTTCTCCCTGCGGCCGCAGCCGCCGCTGCGCGTCCGGCAGCCCAAGGCCCAGGCCAGCCATGGCTAGCTGGTGGCTAGCTGCTGAGAAGGAGTCAGCTAGCCAAGAGCCGACGGCGAAGAGGTCCGTGCTGCTGCGTGCTGCTGCTGCTGCTGCTGGGCGCTGCTCGGGGAAGGCGCGGCCCGCGCTCTTCAGAATCGCCTCCAGGCTGCTGCTGCTGCTGCTGCTGCTGCTGCTGCGGGCAGCAGCAGCTAGCCAGAGACAAACAGCTAGTGCCACGGAAAGGGGATTGAAAGCCCTCATTTTGCTGAAGCGCGGGAGAGAACAGCAGCAGGAAGCAGCAGGCTTGGAGGAGCTGCTCTTTGGCTTTTAAATGCTATTTAAAAACATATATTTGCTGAAGTGAAAACAGCAAAAAGAACGGAGAGCGGAGAGGCCGCGGAGGACGCGCGAGTGTACGTACACCCGAAGAGCGAGCGCTGCGGTGTCACTGCAGTGACCAGCAGCAGCAGCAGCAGCAGCAGCAGCAAACGAACGCGAAAAGAACAAAGAGAAGTAAACACAAGTAAAAACAAATCTAAAACGCAAACACCTCACAAACAAGAGAAAAATAACAAGAAGAATAAACCTCAACAGCCAATCTGCTCGGACCTTGCCCGCCAGCCAGCTGCGCCGCCGCCTGCCAGCTGCGCGCTCAGGCAGCTGCAGCTCCTCACTTGTTCCGAAATACTCAATAAAAAGGGTTTCTTTTCTTCAAAAATAAACTCTTTTTTTGAAATGAGGAAAATTTTCTCTTTATTTCAATACCCATTTCTCCCGCCTACTCGCTTTCCCGCTTTTTAAGGTGTACGTACACCCCGTGCAGACCACCGCAGCCAACACCGCCTCGCCCAGCTGTCTGGAACCCCTGATCTCATTTATTTTATTCTTTTTCCTTTTATTTTTATTTTAATTATTATTGTTTTCTATTTTGCCTCCTTTTAAAAAGATATTTTGGGAAATTTGAGCCCTTTTCGCCTCTCCCGGACCCCTAGCCTTGGCGCCGCTCTAAACCCCCGCTAGCCAAACCGCCTGGACTTCTGTGCTTCTCTTTTGCCCCTTTTACCCATTTAATAATATTAATTAATTTAATTAAATAAATACTTTTTCTTTTAATCTTTTTTATTTATTTTCGAAGCGAGACACACCACACGGAGCTGCCTATACACCGGAAATTTGGACACCTCCCACTGCTGCTCTTGGTCTCCCGGGGCAAAAACAAAGCAAAACTGCTGCTAGAGAGTTTAGGGTTTAGGGTGTAGGTTTCAGGATTTATGGTTTAACGATGGGGGCTTGGGGCTAAGGATTTAGGGTTTGGGGTTTAGCGTTTAGGGTTTAGGGTTTAAAGAATTCCAGCAAAGTTAAGAGGGCGAGGCAAAGCTGGAAATGCTCAAGTCCCGAAGCACTTGAAATGCCCCACAAAAAGACTTACTAAAAGCTAGGGTTTAGGGTTTAGGGTTTAGGGTTTGCGCTCGAACGCTGCGCATCCTCTTGGAAGAAAGCCTCCTTTTCCCTAACAGAATAAAAACTCTTGTGCAATTGTTAGGGGGCTTAATCCGAATTCAAACACAGACGCAAATTAGGGTTTAGGGTTTAGGGTTTAGGGTTTAGGGTTTAGGGTTTAGGGTTTAGAAAGAGCTGCCCGTACTCTTCATACCCTTTATCTATTCAAAAATTGTTAAATCGATTTCTAGAAAAATGGCAAAATAAATGCAAATTGCCAAACCCTAAATCAGTGGCTAGCTAGCTAGCCAGTTAGCCGGCTGCAAACCCTAAACGACAGCTAGCTAGCTAGCTAGCTAGCTAGCTAGCTAGCTAGCTAGCTAGCTAGCTAGCTAGCTAGCTAGCTTTCGGGGCAGAATGGGAATGGCATGCATGATTAACTCAAGTGGGAAATTCCAGATAAAAAAGCCGAAACCCTAAACCCTAAACCCTGAACCGCAAACCGTAAACCCTCATTTGTCGATCCTATGATGCATTCTCCGACAGTGTTCAAGGTTCAAAGAAACGACATTCAGGGGAGGTTTTGACTTTGGGGTTTAGGGTTTAGGGTTTAGGGTTTAGGGTTTAGGGTTTAGGGTACAGAGTGGCCGATGGTTCATCTTACTTATAACTGAATCAGGAAATTAGGGTTTAGGGTTTAGGGCTTAAGGCTACAACGCTCAGGGCCTAGGGTTTGGGAATCAAAGTTTATGGCCTAGGGATTAGGGCTTGGTACCTGCTGTTGGGGTTTAGGGTTTAGGGTTTAGCGTTTAAAGTTTAGGGTTTAGGGTTTCGGCCTCAGAGTCTTAAGCGTAGGGTTTACGGTTGCGGAGTCTGTGCTAAGGGTTTATAGTTCAGTTTTTACAGCTAAAGGCCTAGGGTTTAGGGTTTAGGGTTTAGGGTTCAGGGTTTTGTCTTCAGACAGCAGAAGCCAGCTCAACAGACACACGCATTCCCCCTCTTTGTTTCTTACAACTAGTTTGGGTAGTTTAGTTTTTGCTGGAAATCTAGGGTTTAGGGTTTAGGGTTTAGGGTTTAGGGTTTAGGGTCTACGGTTTAGGGTTAAGGGTTTAGCCTTGTCGGTTCCGTTCGAGGGCGACGCGGACACCGCGGTCCGTGGCACTTTAGGGTTTAGGGTTTGGCTTCTAGGGCTTAGGGTTTAGGGTCTAGGGTTTAGGGTTTAGGACTGAGGGTTTAAGACTTTCATTTTGGGTTTTAAACAAACAGTGAAACTGCTCGAGGTGGCTATACACCTGAAAAACAGACCAGACCGGACCGACCCCCGCGCAAGTTTGCCAAAAGGCATCAAATTGGAGGAAATAACGTTTAAAAAGGAAAAACTACAAATTAAAATTGTTTTTAAATCAAAATAAATAATTAAATGTGTATTTAGAGCTTCATTTGGGCGAAAGAAAAACAAAACAAACACGAACACTCTTGCGCGAGCAGGTGTCGGTACAGCTCAGCCGCAGCAAATCCGCAACTAATTCTTCGCGAATTTCCGTTTTTTCCATGTCTTTTTGCAAAATCTTCTTTAATATTTATTTTAGTTTTTATTTGATCATTTAAATATCCATTTTCTCTCTTCAATAGCTCAAACGACCCCACAATGAGCCAGGGCACGGTCCTGCAGCCTTCGGGTGTATGTACACTGCGCAGCAACACCAACCAAGCCCTTGGCATTGCTCAATACGCCATCAGCTTCATCGAAAACGAGTAAACCCTAAACCCTAAACCCTAAACCCTAAACCCTAACGCCGAAACCCTAAACCCTGGCGCAGGTTTTGCTGCGCTCACTCAACACTGCCCGGTCTTTTTTGTGCGAAAGTTTGGTGGCGCGCCCGCCCAAACCCTAAACCCTAAACCCTAAACCCCAAACCCTAAACCCCAGCCCTCCTTCTTTCCCTCCCCCGCAGCGCAGCTGCTGTTTGTCTTTCCTGCTGATCTCTCCGCGTCCCCAGCCCCCCAGCATCCCTGCTGCCTCAAAACCAGGGGCTTATTGCTGCTGCTGCTGCTGCTGCTGCTGCTGCTGCTGCTGCTGCTGCAGCAAAGCAGCAATAAGCCCCTCGGTGCTGCGGCGAGTTTCTCTCTTTCACCTCGACGCAGTGCTGTGCGGCCTCTCAGCCCTCGCCTGTGGGGCCCCAGCCCCCACAATTCTCCGCAAAGAAGCTCTTGAGTACTTCGGTGGGTTTGGGGCTGCATGCGTTTGCATGCGCCCTCGGGTGTACGTACACCCCAGTGCATGCGCCCTCCGGGTTACGTGCACCGGCGCTCAGGTGTACGTACACCCCACCGCGCCGTTTTCGCGCTTCTTTTTGTCGCGTTTTCAATCATTTTAAATACTTTTAAACCCTTTTGAATCCTTTTAATCCTTTTATTTATTTTCATCCTATTGCACCTCAAACTTTTCTTCTTTTTTCTTCTTTTTCCCCTTTTTCTGCTGTACGTACACCCCAGTGGCTGCTGCAGCACTGCGCAGTTCAGGTGTATGTGCAGCTGCTGCATGCGTTTGTATTTTTATTTTTGTCAAATTGTTTATTTGTCTCTTCGCAGATCCGTGAGTACAACTTTCTTCTTGCTTTCTGCTGCTGCTGCTGGTGCTGCAGCAGCAACACAAGCAGCAGCAGCAGATACTGCGCTGCGGAGCGGCAGTATCTGTAGAAGCAACCGAAGCAACAGCAGCAGCAGCAGCAGCAAAGAGACATGTTGTTATATTTGGGGGATTTCTTTTTCCGTTTATCTCTTCATTTTGAACGCTTCAATTTCATCTTTTTTATTTCTTTATTTGTCAATTTTAAATCTCCTTTTAGTC